TGAGGATTTCGATCTGAGAGCATAAAGAGCTCGATCTAAGATCATAACAAGCTTAATCTGAGAGCATAAAGAGTTCGATCTAAGATCATAAGGAGCTCGATCTAAGATCATAAGGAGCTCGATCTGAGATCATAACGAGCTTGATCTGAGATCATAACAAGCTTGATCAGAGAGCATAAAGAGATCAATCTGAGAGCATAAAGAGCTCAATCTGAGATCATAAAGAGCTTGATCTGAGAGCATAAAGTGCTCGATCTAAGATCATAACGAGCTCGATCTGAGAGCACAAAGAGCTCGATCTCAAATCATAACGAGCTCGATCTGAGAGCATAAAGAGCTCGATCTAAGATCATAAGGAGCTCGATCAGAAAGCGCGAAGCTTCATTTAAGAATAAAAGAAGTTCGATCAGAAAGCGCGAAGCTTGATCTGAGAACTCGAGATTAGCGATCTAAGCAGTTGGAAGTGCGATTTGGCTGCTCGAAAGCGCGATCTAAATTATCTAACACAAGCGTGTGATCTCAACGATCTTGAATGAGTAATCTGAGCATACGATCTGTGATCTGGACATGCGATTTGAGAGCTCTGATGTATGCAATCAGCAATCTGGCCACGCCATCTGAGAGCTCCAATGCGTGTGATCTGTGATCTGACCACGCCATCTGAGAGCTACGCTGCGTGCAATCTGCGATCTGACCACACCATCTGAAGCTCTGATGCATGTGATCTGCGATCTAACCACACCATCTGAGAGCTCTGATGCATGTGATCTGCGATTTGACCACGCCATCTGAGAGCTACGCTGCGTACGATCTGCGATCTGACCACACCATCTAAGAGCTAGAGATCTGAGCGATCTCAGCACGTGATCTCAATGATCTTGAACGCGCGATCTAAGCGTGTGATCTGCTATCTAGACAAGCGATTTGAGAGCTCTGATGCATGCGATCTGATCATGCCATCTGAGAGCTCTAATACGTGCGATCTACGATATGACCACGCTATCTGGGAGCTTTGATGCATGTAATCTATAATCTGACAACGCCATCTGAGAACTAGAGATCTCAGCGCGTGATCTCAGTGATTTCTACAATCTGACCACACCATCTGAGAGCTCTGATGCGTGCGATCTGCGATCTGACCACGCCATCTAAGAGCTAGAGATCTGAGCACGTGATCTCAGTGATCTTGAACACGCGATTTCAGTGTGCGATCTGTGATCTAGACACACTATTTGAGAGCTCTGATACGTGCGATCTGATCACACCATCTGAGAGTCTAATGCGTGCAATCAACAATTTGACCATGCCATCTGAGAGCTAGAGATTTGAGCGATTTGAGCACGTGATCTCAGCGATCTTGAACGCGCGATCTGAGCGTGTGATCTGCGATCTGGACATGCGATTTGAGAGATCTGATGCATGCGATCTGATCACGCCATCTGAGAGCTTGGACGCAGGTTCAAGACTTGCATGGGCCACCAAACTGTTAATTCTTGATTTTGACACCAACTATTTGTACGTGCAAAGTGCTAAAAGAGTCTTAGAAATTACATGTGAAAGATTCATAAAATTTGAATATGATGCTGAGATTATACATGTTTACAGAAACATAAATAAAGGATTGACAAGAGAGGTTTTTATAGTGGTTCGGATGCTTAAAGCAAATCCTACATCCACTGTTATTTTATTATTCTCTGACTATTTCCATGATATTGCTTGTAAGGCATACAAAGACGGAGAAATACTTTGTTTACAGAGAGAAATAATGAAGCTCAAATGTTTGCCTAGCTCTCATCTGTCCAGTCTCCTCTTTTACGAAGAGAGATGTCAATTTATACACCTTTGAGGTCAATGTAATAAGTGTTTTTGCAAGTTGTTTTGACACATGGAGAGCTCTCATTCATCCTTATCGTAAAATGAGATAGAGTTGGTATAAAATATCTTTGAGGCGGTATGCACTTGACAGCTAATACACTTTGTCTTTTAGGCACTTGTTGAGCTGACATAGTGTGACTTTTTAGGCACAACAGTATTAGTTAGTCAGTTAAGCCGAGTTGGTTAAATAGCGACATCTAAGTTGTAAAACAGCATTTTGTTTGTTAATTAGATTAGGATTAGCGAGCAGTAAGTAGCTATTTTTTATTGTATAAAAGATGTACTCCGTTTTTCTTCATTAATAAAATAAGAACTCACTTTACCAAATTGCATTTTACTCTGTTCACAACCGATTGTTAATTCTGTTCTGGGGGGATTTATTTCGCTGTCTAATAACAAATTGAACTACAAGCCCTTGCTGCTGAGGATCCTACAGGACTTGAGTTCGATTCCGCCAAATTTAAAGTGCGCCATGAATTTGTTATAAGATCTCTTTACGGAAATCTCCAGAGATGGGAATGGCAATTCAGAAAGATGAGGAACCTGTTGGTCAAGAAGAAGGCTAAGCGAGCACTGGTGTCTCGAAAGTACTTTCCGAGCGTTGATGCGAATGGAAGATTTATGAACGGCAGCGAGGAAGAGAGGGAGATTGAGAAGGAAGTGTTGGGTGTTTTAGCAGATGAAGATCAGCGAGAGTGTCCAGTGTGCATGGAGGGTTTTGAGGAGTTCTTTTGTGAGAAGATGAATGATTGGGTGTATCGACTTGGATGCAACCAAGAGATCGAGGAGACCTCTATATAACTCTTTGATCGGTGGGATTGTGCATGCTAAGTGTGTATATACAAAACAAGAAATCAAATCTTTGTTGGTTTCTAAGGGACAGAAAATCGTCTCAAATTGTTGACATTTTTTTAGGTTTTGTAGATTCCCATTTGAAGTTTTTGTATGACTTTACATATTAATTTGTTAATCAATGAGAAGTACAACAATTCATCATGTTTTTTTCTCTTTAATGTCTTATATTACTTGTACATCTTGTGAATGTGAATTGATTGTATTCAATAAAGGACACAGAACTCATTTAATTTGACAGTTTGTGAATTAATCCTGGACAGTCTTGATTCAAAATTTGAGTTCATGTATGCCGTCTTTGATACATGAGTTTGCATGTTATAAATATAAGTTTTAATAATACTCTAGCCATGGACAGACTCCGTAAGTGACGAGTGGAGGCTGGTGACCTCATTCAAAAAAAGAAATTTCATTAATTATGCATAGTTTTCTACTTTGATTAGATTGTATTTTTGTTTTATATTAAATTATTTATAATCCCATTAATTTTGTTTTCCTAGAATCAATAGTAAATTACTTTATTTACCCCCTCTAAAATTAATTCTTGTAATGTACTTGAAAAAATTATCTTTTACGTGTTCCATAACATTTTGATTTTATGGACCTGGAATTAATTCACCTTCTTCATCTTGATGCAAATTATTCATGCACAAATTCTCTTTTGATTTTGTTAGTCATCATGGCTTTCTAGTTATATAAATCACACATTGACCCAAGATGCGTTGTTATTTTGAAACTTTGAGGCCTGATATGAGTTTCAAGGGATACAAAGAGAGAGCAATGCCCTTTATAATAAAACTCAGAATTCACGAGAGGAAAGAAATAATTACACTACTTAAAGACGTAAAATAAAAAATAAAAAAAGGGACACAGGTACGAGCTGGGCTTGGAAATCAGGCTCTGTAATAGCCCACCCTGGCCCGGCCCAGATATATTACATGAAATTTTAAAAATTAGTTACAAAAGGCTCAAATGTTGTCTGCTTGGGCACTACATAGACTTACAGTTTTGTTTTTGAGCTTCAGGCCTAAAACGAGTCATATTAGAATATAATAATACTATACTTACAAAGAAATCTTACAAAGATTTTCATATACAATGAGGTGACAAAAAATGAATGGAAGAATGAAACAAAAGTTAAACTTATTAAATTTACTCTTTCATTCATTTTTTGCCACATCACTTTGTATAAAGATCTTTGTAAAATTTCTTTGTAAATATAGTATTACTCGTTAGGTTAAGGCTTATAGTCCTATATATACACGCACCCCCTCTTACACAGGAGCGATGTGAGACTTCACAACAAAGCTGGCCCTTAGAAATTTCACCCGAAAAATTCATCTTGTAATGAAGTAAAATTACAAATGACCTCTAGAAAATTACTCTCAAGTCTCAACAACCAGACATAGAGTAAAATTCTAAAAGAGCCTTAATTTTTTAACCAAACCTGGACCTAAAGCATGGGCTTGGACTTTTTCAATGTACCCCGGGCCTAACCGGGCCGGGGATGTTTACATCCTAAATTATTACTTAGAGGGTTCCGTCTTTACTTTTCTTTTTCTCTATTTAAAAGAGGCGGAAAGAGATTTGAGAATATATATTACATTTTGATTTTGATTGTTACGTTATATCTTCACTCATAGTTTTGTGCTTGCTTCTTGTCCATATTTGAAGAGAGGAAATTTCTATTTGTTACAATATTATAGGTATAATGAATTAAGTTATAAGGAGGAAATTCAGTAACCCAACAAAATACTAAGTACATAAATTGCCAAAGCTTGTAAAATTCTCAATCAAATTTTACAGTATTGTCGACATTAATGTTATAAATGTGATATCTTATATGAGTAAATCTCTATCAAGACGTCTTAATGTTATAAATGTGATATTTTATAATATGAGTAAATCTCTAATTAGGACATCTTATTATTAATTTTGTCAAGATTATGCTTATCCATTGTTCGATTTATCTGATGGAAAAAAAAATAATATTATACAATTCAGATCTAATGGTATATATTCATAGTCCTGACAAATTAATATCAGAACATTCTTACTAAATAACTGTTCCTTATATTATAAAGTAACTCGTGTTAACACTTTTACGGAACTTATAATTTGTATAATATGACTTATTAACTTAATGAGGCTAATTAATTATCACAACAAAGGGTTATTCTTGACCAACAGACTGTTGATTCTTTTCTGGAGGAATCTATCTGAAGAACAATATAGCAAAAAATCACTAAACAAAAAGAGAATGTGTTCTGGTTTTGGAACTTTATGAATTACAAATATACACTCACATATTTCTTTTTCATCACAATTTTCTTTGTTCACTATAGGTTTTGCTTCTTGCAAATTGAGCCACCAAATACCTCTGTGACTATGTGAAAGAAAAACAAAAAAAAAAAAAAAAAGGATTGGTAATATCTGTCAGGAGCCAGCACTAACCAGCATTGGGTTTGGATGTGCCACCGAATTCTTCGAGGAGTCGTTCGATAGTCTTCCTTGATGTAGCTTTGTCAATCTCAAATGCCTTCATCTCCTCTCCAAGGCCTGCATGATCACAACATTGAACAAAGAGTTCAAATGAATTTATTGGAGATGTTTTATGTTTGACAATGTATAATGTTGAAATTTAGTTCTGCAAATGGAAATGTTTTTGCAGTGAAGCTGACCTGGTTGCTGCAGAACTTTTAGTGGCAGTTGTGAGGCACTTGAATTGAAGAAGGAGAGTAAGTTCCTCATAAGCTCCACCGATTCAGCCGCAACCAGAATTTCTCTCTAAATCATACCCAAAAAAATGAGCAAGAAATGCTATTGTTTTTTCAGATAAAAAATTTAGAAAAATAAATGTCGAAACAGGCCGATTTGTTCAAACCTTGAAGTTCTTCTGTTGATCATAGTACCCCGAAACGATCATGAGTAACCGAACTTTTTCTAGTTCTGCAAATTTAGGAGAAAGCATTGAAAAGGATGCATATCCTGAGAACTTCTGAAAATTTTTTAAGCTGTTTTGGTTGTATTTCAAAAGTGTTAATAAGATTTTAAATAAACTATATTTTATTTTATGTTTGAGTTTATTTAATCCGTTGAAATTATAAAAATATCTCTATTCTATTTTATATATTTGACTTAATATATTTTTGTATATTAAAACCCTTTTTGATAAATTAATATTATAAAGCATTTTTATATTTTTCTAGTCAAACAAATAATATTTTCTTTATAAAAACTTTATTCTTATAAGCTCTTTTTTTTTTTTTTTTTTTTTTTTTTTTTATAAACTCTATGTGAAGAAGCTGTATCAAAGAGAACCTTAATGTCCATTAATTATTATGTCTGCAAAATCATATTTGAGAACAACTTACTCTGGAAATGTTTTATTTCTTGAGTTGAAGCATTCTCATGAGCAAGAAGTTGTTCAACCGAAATTCCAATAGAACTCATTCCAATTTATGAAACCATTGATCTCGAACGGACACCGTCCATTTTCCCTGGTTTAAAAATTCCCATCAATAGAGAGTTAAACAGAATGCAAGCAACACAAGAGTGTATATATTCTGATCTTGATTCTGCATCATTAAGTATTGAAATCAGAGGTTAGAGCAAGTATGATCATACCGATTCTTGACCATTTTTTGAAGTCCTTCCGCAAAATATCCGATACTTTGAGATCAGACACATCGTACATTAAGTATCTCACTGCAAATTAAAAGTTGCATCTGCAGAAATGAACCTTACTAGTCTAAAGAGAGGGGGAAAATGAAAAAGAGCATATAAGATCATACGTATTTGGTAAAGACCACTGCAGCCAAAACGACCGGCGCCATTGATTAATAATGTAGCCATGTATTGATCTTTGGAGGTACAACGAGAGTTTGTAAGGTTCGCGGTCTCTAAAAGTGTTCCGGCTAGCTGCACATGGATAGAAAAATCATTAAACTATGTGGCTAATTGATGATGTGTTCATGGAAATAAACTATAACCTGATCAAAAAAAGGAAAGTTCAGAATTTGGAAGCAGAAAGTACCAAAAGTCTACTGAATGCTTGCCCTGCCAGAATTTCAGGTGAAGTTTTTGCAAACTTTTCAGCAACTAGAGTACAACATGAACAATCCTATAAAAACATTTTACAACTGCACGATCAAATGAACTCCGGAATATATAGAATGTATAGCTAAAAATTAGAGGATGGAAAGGCAGCTAAAGTTCGTTTAAAATCACTCTTAATGACATGTTTAATCTCCAGTTTCATTGATCGATTACGCTAACGACAGAATGCAGTGTCATAGAAATCATCACATTTGGATCTTAAATTAAGTACTATAGTGAAGTGCATACATGCTTTAAATTGTAGCTAAATACCTGTCCCACGGTGAGAGTCTCAACCCGAGGATACACAGTTTCACCCTGTAAAATGCAGTGACCATTTAGTCCATCAATTTTCCTATTCGGAATGGATATGAAATTGTAAAAGTTTGAACAAGGCTGAGCTAATTAATCAGACATTTCTGCAATTGAAGATTTCGACAACTGCCTCTTTAAGTGCCTGCACCAGTAAGATACCAGTAAATATCTATCTTTATAATGGCTATCAGTAAAAATAAAGCCAGCTTTTACAATAAATGTTACCTCTTGTTTCGTTGGAAGCTTGTGGCCATTTATTAGAACTAGTTTAAGACTTCCAAACAGATCATAATATGATAGATCAATCTGCTTAACCATTATGAGAAAGAAATATGTCAATTACAGGATTGGTTCAATATTTAAAATAGAATGAATGCACCACTGGAAAACTTGTCCGTCCCTGCGCAGTGATGGCGCTGGCAAACACAATCACTGCATCGGGGAAAATAAGTTCCCCGACGACAATACATCCGCATGGGGAAAAGCCATACACTGGTACCATTCGTGTTGGGGAATTTTATTAAACGCCAAAGTTTATCTGCGTCGGCGTAATGTCTGAATTTCGACGCCGTGAATCGACGTCAAGATCAGCGTTGGTTCAGACAGAGTTTCCAATAGTGATTTTCTTTAGAATGTAGATTAAACTTTAACTACCGAAATAGAAATACCTCATCTATAAATATCAATGATGTCTGATCTATTTGGCATGACTCCAATAGCCATTTAATCTCAGCATGAGATTTCAGGTCTGCTCTCTTCATGTTGATGACAGGTACAGTGCAGAACATTTCATTTTCATTTGTTAAACTTAAGTAGAATGCATACAAAATAGTCGCTGCAAGAGTTCCAATATCTGTAGATTGACAGACATGAAGTTAAAAACAAAACAAACATAAGAAATTTATGAAATTTCGAAATCGATTAGCTGAGATTAATTACCAGAAACATCTTGCCCAAGTACAGCATGTAAAAATTTTCCAGGGACACCTGCACTAACGTCATCCTTTCTGGCCATCAAATATAAATTAAGCCTGTTGATGCTTTCACAGGATTCCGCGATTTCCACTCGCGGCGAAAACCCGTTATAGAAAGAAGCTGCAGATTGAGGAAGAGGAATCTTTGACAGGTTTGGTTTTGTTCTATTCATGCTATATGATCTTACAAATGTTGGTGTCATCAAATCAGGAAAAGTATTATACTTCGCAGTTAATTCAAAGATCCTGGGACTAGAAACCTTCAGTGAATTATGCAGATCACAAATGTCAAAGCTTGAGTCGGACTGATTACTTGGGAATGAAAATGAAGTTGTTTTAGCAATCTTAGACAAAGTTTTGGGTGAAGACCGCGCAAAAGGTTCCAGTATATCAGAGACTGAATCTTCTAATAATGGTGAGCTCATGGACTTTTCTGGTATATCTAATATTAGTTTCTTATGTCCTCTGTTGGTGATGTCTGATGTGGACCGCAAAATCTTCCCGCTGTCTGGAGTTCCTGGAAATGGTTGGGTGGGAGCTCGATCTTTCATGGTCTCACCTCTGAGTAGACCTCTGAAGTATGGATTCTCCCTGGAACGAGCATATGGTTCCTGAAACCAAACAAAAAACAATATCAAGAATTTAGTAAAAGAGAAGCAAGCAAAACCATATGAATTATGATGATGAGCTCAAAGGATTAGTAAATCTGAGTCTTGCTATAATTCGAGCTTCGACTGAGTGTTATAAAGAAAAACTAGTTTCTGATGGCTTTCAACAATTTCGACATGAAATTTAAGAATTATGATATGGATACATGGAACAAAGAACACAGTAGTTTGAAGCTGTAATTTCTACTTCTTTTTAAGTTTCCATGGGATAAAATCAAAGTTCAACCATCTCAATTTAAAACTGGACAATCTGATTTTAATGTCATAATTTGGAATTTCCACTCTGTCAACTCCAATAATCAGCAGAAGAAAGCAGCAGGAATCCAAAGAATTTAAATAATTTCTTCATTGTTTTATGAATTTTCTCAATTTCTTGCTCCTAAACTTTATGTCATGCAGTCAAAAATCCACTAATTAGAATTACATAACCTCAATTCTTTTCCTTTAACAAGCTTCAAAAAATTATAGAAAAGAACCCCCCTTAATATAAACAAATATTCATTAGGGAAGGAAAACAAATATTCATTAGGGAAGGAAAAAAAAAAAAAAAAAAAGTTAAACCATAGAATTATAATAATATGTATTTCAGTCAAACAAAACAAAGTTGGTTCAAACTTCAATCTTATCATCAATTCATCCTAATTAAGCCCAAAAATTCAATCATCAAACACCTCTCAAATAATCATCATTAAAAAAACAACACAACTATATATCTTATTAACTTAATGCAACTTCTGATAATTTCATGATCACGATATGATTGATAGTTAATTAAAAGAAAATATAATAAACGAATCTATCCTGAGAACATATAAAATAGACATTGTCATGTGACAACGGAACAGCTCAGAAGTCAGATCAAGAGAGAATCCTAATTCCAAGTTTCTAATAAGTTTACAGCTAAGTTACAATCCAAATGCTAAAGCAAATATAGAAGTGTAAGAACAGGGAAAAAAAAAAAAAAAAACCTGAGCGACAACTTTGTGATGCTTCATGTTTGAGAAGAGGAGAAAGAACAGGAGGAGACGACTGTGAAAACGCGTAAAGGTAAAAGTGGAAGCTTTGAGGAGGGGGAGGGGCGGCAGATAGAGAAGAGGACAGTGAAAGAATCTTCGCAGGCTCCGCCATAACGTTACATAGAAATGCATGCAACTCTCCGCCTCTCTCCGTAGAAATTGTCGATAACTTTACTTGGGAAAACGTCTGCAAAACAAACAAATTAACGTTTCGTTGTTTTGAAGATATTTGGGGAGATGCTTGGTCTAGGAATGTAAAAACGACGAATTTGAAAAGAAGATGTAACTCTCAGTTAGTCAGCCATGCATCAGCAATGCAAACAACAGAAAAGTTAAATAGATTTTTAATTAATTACCAAAAGTAACCAAAGTTTTTGAAGTTTTGGTTTGTGGAAATATAGCAAATAATTTGAAATGTTCTTTCACATATACTCCAAGCTTCAATTGACTTTAAAAAATAATAATAAATAAAAAATAAAATAAAATTCCCCCTCATTCATTAACTGAAAATGTTTAAGATCCGTTTTATTTGTGATACAAAAATAATTTTCAAAAATTAATATGCTAATCTTAACTATGAGTTACATATCAATTTTTAATTTTTAATATGTAAAAATGTGCTTGATATTTTAACAAAATATTTTTTTTAATTATTATATAAAACAGACCCTTAATGATTTATATATTTTAAGATTTAAGAATAAAATTAATAAAATGTTTTAAAAATAATTGGAAACACATATTGTTAGTAATCTATAGTTATTTTTTAAGGTTATCACTATATTGTTCAGTTGGACCAGGGAAAAAAATGGGATTTTTTTTTTAAATGAATTTTAGAAAATAAAAATTGAAAGGTTAGATAATTTCTTTTTGAAAAAAGAAATGGTGATTAGCGAATATATATTTGATTGAATAAGGTAATCAGAATTAAAAAAAAAAAAAAAAATCATATAGATTTTTTCTAAATTGAACAGACTTCAACCGTCAGCAACTTTACAAATTGAATAAGCCCATGTTCAAATGGGTCTTGTCTTGTTCGAAGGCCTCAGAATGACATTTCTCTCATAAATTCAAAGACCAAAAGTTTAAATTGGCATTGGAAATTAGATGAAGATTTAATAGCATCAAGTAATCCGAGTACCGTAAAATTTGATTGATTTGGTTTGGATCAATCAATTCTATTAATTTATATTAGATCCTGTGCTCTTGGTTCAGTGTAAGAAGGCAACCTTATAATTGATTTTGATCTTCAAGAACCTCTCATTCATTAAAATCAATTAAACGACTCACTAGTCACTACCATGAAAAAAAAAAAGCACAACATATATTTAAACATGGTAATTTATTTATTAATACGGAACTGCAAACATCTTTTGAGACCAATCAACATCCAAAATATTGTATAATTGATATTGATTCTGTATATTATCATATCGATTTTATTGCGATTCTAGTTTAAGCTAACATCATTTTGCCGGTGGCCATGAATATTCAAAAGTCCACCGGCCCTCTCTCAGATTGAAAACACCATTCTTCGAAAATGACCAGTCACAATCTCTAGAACAAGTATCTCTATGCTCATCAAAAGCATCAAATTCAAGCTGAGGTGCTCCATCAAGATTAGCAACACAATGCAATAGTGTCGAATGAAATCTGTTTCTTCTGAATACCCAGTCAAATGAGTTGCCATTGGTAATACTTTGTTCTCCCAAATCTTTTGAGTTTCTCACGGAACAATGAACTTTCAAGATCTTGCCATCTCCAAGCTGGTTGATGGTGTGCACTTGGATATCACATGAGACATTTGAAACAAAGAAAATTATTGACAAGAAGATGAGACTGACGAGATTTTGGTGTTGGTGTTGGTGTTGGATAACCATTGTATAGTTCTATGTTTTGTCATGGATTTTATGACTATATATATAAAACGGCAAATTAATTGTGTCAAATCAAGAAATGGTATCTCAAGAGTATCAAATTTTCAAATAATACATTGCCTAATATGGTGAGTCAATTGATTATATCTGGAAAAGATTTATATTCGGAAATTTTTATCCAAAGTAATGTGCAGTTTAGATTAAATTATCATATCTTACCCTATTAACTTATTATTAAATCATGAGATGATATCGCTAGGAATATATATCAACCCACTAAGAATTTAATTGATCATTTGGAAGAAAATATGGGATGCTATTTGAGATTTTTGAAAAAAGTTTAAAAAGTTGAATTGGCGGGTATTACGATGTAGGATTTATATTAATAAAATACCCTATATATTTATTTTTTTACAAAATACCCCCTATAATAAAACATTAAAAGTTAACAAAAATACCCTAACCCACCCTCAAACACCCCCATTTGGCCACCACCACCGGAGGTGGCCGAAGTCACCTTATGGGCGCATGACCGTCTGGATCTTGCCGTCATGCACCGATATGGCCTTTTTCGGCCAATCCACGGTGGATCTGGCCGGCAAAGGCCAAATCTATGGCCAGATCTGGCCGTCAACCGCCAATCTGGCCGTATTTGCTCTCACGATGGCCACAAACGGTCGTCGTTGATGTCAACGACAACCATTTGTTGGCCGTCGTGCCCGACTGTTACGGCCAAAGATCTGGCCGTCAACGGCCAGATCTTTGGCCTTAGATCTGGCCTTTTCCGGCCAGATCCACCGTGGATCTGGCCAGAAAAGGCTAGATCGGCGCACTACCGCTAGATTCAGCCGGTATGCGCCATCCTACCAGATTCCGGCCATTTTCCGGTGTGTAGTGGCCGGAATCTGGTAATGTGATTATTGGGGTGTTTTTGTAATTTAAAAAAAATATTTAGGGTATTTAATTAAATATCAAATTTAAGGGGTTTAAAAAAGTTGAATAATATTAGGATAGTATTCCCAAAAATCTGAGTTTTTGGGTATTTTACTGTTTAACTTTTTTGGGAATACTAAAAGTAGTATTCCCAAAACTGAAACACCGAATATATATTACATTTTGATTTTGATTGTTACGTTATATCTTCACTCATAGTTTTGTGCTTGCTTCTTGTCCATATTTGAAGAGAGGAAATTTCTATTTGTTACAATATTATAGGTATAATAATTAATTTATAAGGAAGAAATTCAGTAACCCAACAAAATACTAAGTACATAAATTGCCAAAGCTTGTAAAATCTCATCAAATTTTACAGTATTGTCACATTAATGTTATAATGTGATATCTTAATGAGTAAATCTCTATCAAGACGTCTTAATGTTATAAATGTGATATTTTATAATATGATAAATCTCTAATAGCCATCTTATTATTAATTTTGTCAGGACATGCTTATCCATGTTCGATTTATCTCATGGAAAAAAATAATATTAATACTTCAGATCTAATGGTATATATTCATAGTCCTGACAATTAATATCAAACATCTAACTAAATAACGTTCCTTATATTAAGTACATCGTGTTAACACTTTTACGGAACTTATAATTTGTATAATATGACTTTAACTTAATGAGGCTAATTAATTATCACAACAAAGGGTTATCTTGACCAACAGACTGTTGATTCTTTTGGGAATCTATCTGAAGAACAATATAGCAAAAAATCACTAAACAAAAAGAGAATGTGTTCTGATTTTGAAACTTTATGAATACAAATATACACTCACATATTTCTTTTCATCACAATTTCTTGTCACTATAGTTTGCTTCTGCAAATTGAGCCACAATACCTCTGTGACATGTGAAAGAAAAACAAAAAAAAAAAAAAGGATTGGTAATACTGTCGGAACCAGCACTAACCGCTAGGTTTGGATGTGCCACCGAATTCTTCGAGGATTCGTTCGATAGTCTTCCTTGATGTAGCTTTGTCAATCTCATGCCTTCATCTCCTCTCCAGGCCTGCATGATCACAACTTGAACAAAGAGTTCAAATGAATTTATTGGAGATGTTTGATGTTTGACAATGTATAATGTTGAAATTTAGTTTCTGCAAATGGAAATGTTTTTGCAGTGAAGCTGACCTGTTGCTGCAGAACTTTTAGTGGCAGTTGTGGCACTTGAATTGAAGAAGGAGAGTAAGTTCCTCTAAGCTCCACCGTTCAGCCGCAACCAGAATTTCTCTCTAAATCATACCCAAAAAAATGAGCAAGAAATGCTATTGTTTTTTCAGATAAAAAATTTAGAAAAATAAATGTCGAAACAGGCCGATTTGTTCAACTTGAAGTTCTTCTGTTGTCATAGTACCCCGAAACGTCATGAGTAACCGAACTTTTCTAGTTCTGCAAATTTAGGACAAAGCATTGAAGGGATCATAGCCTGAGAACTTCTGAAAAATTTTAAGCTGTTTGGTTGTATTCAAAAGTGTTATAAGATTTTAAATAATATATTTTATTTATGTTTGAGTTTATTTAATCCGTTGAAATTATAAATATCTCATTCTATTTTATAAATTTGACTTAATATATTTTTGTATATAAAACCCTTTTTGATAATTAATATTAAAGCACTTTTATATTTTTCTAGTCAACAAATAATATTTTCTTTATAATTATAAGCTCTTTTTTTTTTTTTTTTTTTTTATAAACTAATGTGAGAAGCTGTATCAAAGAGAACCTTAATGTCCATTAATTATTATTCTGCAAATCAGATTAACTATGAAATGTATCAAGAGAACCTAATGTCATTATATATGTCTGCAAAATCAGATTTGAGAACAACTTACTCTGGAAATGTTTTATTTCTTGAGTTGAAGCATTCTCATGAGCAAGAATTGTTCAACCGAAATTCCAATAGAACTCATTCCAATTATGAAACCATTGATCTCGAACGGACACCGTCCATTTTCCCTGGTTTAAAAATTCCCTCATAGAGGTTAAACAGAATGCAAGCAACACAGAGTGTATATATCTGATCTTGATTCTGCATCATTAAGTATTGAAATCAGGGTTAGAGCAAGTTTGATCATACCGTTCTGACCATTTTTTGAAGTCCTTCCGCAAATATCCGATACTTTGAGA